GGTTTTTGAATTATGCTGTCGATGTACACCGTTGTCCATCAATGTAGGCTAATATGGCTCACTGACATGAAAAAGTTTGGGAACCCCTGGGCTAATGTATAAAATGGAGGTGGCAAAATAAATTGCAGATGGTGGAGAGACCGCTCTAGGAAGAACAAATAAATAAAATGTGAAATATTTGGAAAACTATTTGCTATTATTTGTTACATTGACAGCAGCCTTCTGAAGTCATTGTAACTTACTTTACTGCCAGTAGGTATGTTGATTTCTGCAAGAAAACAGCACACTAAGATAAATATTGTATATAAATAGTATTTATGGAATTTATGGGACACAAGCTACGTGCAGCTCAGAGCAACCCCACTTGTCTGTTTGGTTGCAGGTTCTCTATACTGCTTTGTATTGTGCTTAATTAAGGCGCCACATTGTGCAATTTCATCCACAATCTAGCTGTAGTTAGCTGTCAAATAGAAGTGCAGTAACTATTGTGTACTTCACAGATTTTATATTCAGAACATATTATGAGCATTTGAGACAGTGTGTTTTATAGATAAATTATCCAATAGTATAAAAAGTAGTTAAAATAAAATTAACCTCCAAATTGACCTGCTAAAATATTAAGTATTATTAAATAAATAGGCCTCGCTCTTTGACATAACACAAGTGTCTCCAATTAACAATTAACTGGATCATGTACCTGTATGGCTCACTGCCACACAAACATGGAAACCAGCATCATTAATGTTTTGAGTTATACCTGAGGTGTCTCAGCCGTGGCAAGTCAAATGTGTTTTTATTTATCATCATTAAAGGCATCGAAATAAAAGTTTAAATATCATTAAAGTGGATCAGCAGGGGTGGAAACTCACACTAAAAACACTAATAAGGTGCACCACTAAACACCAAAGGAGATCCTTCCTCCCAGTAGTCATCAGTCTGTTTTACTATTATTATGATTATGATTATGATTATGATTATTGTTATTATTATTATTATTATTATTATTATTATTATGCACTTTTATCATAAACCTTCTAACTTCTTATCATATCTTAGATATAAAGATAGGCTGAATCCCTTTTTCCAGTACCAGTGAGTCAGTTTGAACAAGACAGTCTAGATATAGGCTCGGAGAGGGTAAAAATGGATCATATCTATCATTCCCTTTCACTATCACAGCGGTTAATTCACACACTGCCATTCATTAATTTAATTACTCCATGGCCGAATGGGCACGACCCATCTCAGGTGCCCTCAGCGTTACTTATTATAGCGCGTGGGGGGGTCTTGTGGATTCAGCTCATCTGTTGTATTTGCTCAGTAGCTCACAGAGACCTCTCGGCCCCGACGCAATCTCACCTCATTAACATTTTAGGTGACGAGTCTGTCAAGGCCTTAATTAACAATTCATGCGCAAGGCTTATAGCTATATTAACATTTTACAACCAATAAATCAGCTTTCCTAATCTGCCGTGTGTGTCTGCATGCATATGTGTGTGTGTGTGTGCATGTGTGTTAGACTCAGAGGGGAGACTTTGTGTGTGGGTGTGTTATTTGTGCACATCCGCAACAGGCAACTATATCTCTCCTTTTGTCTGCCAGTCTGTCTCCCTGTCTGTCTCTGACCATGACATTTGTTTGAACTTTCTCTTAATCGTATGTTCTGATCATGACATTACAGTATCATACGCATTGTGCTTTTTTCCTCAGCAAAACAAGAAAAAGCCACCCTACAACTTGATCCAGAGGAGGTCATTCACAGTGTTATGCCAATTAATATCCTAAAAAAGATAAATCCAAGTAAGAGCTTACAAATGCAAGTGCCACCCATAATGGAAAGGTCGACTAATTAGGGAGCTATTTTCGATCAGTCGACTGTTACAAAGTGACAGCGTTACAAGTTGGTCTCTGTCAAGACTTCTCCTGTGGGGAGCAAAATGAACAAGAAGGGAGAGGAGAGACGAGGAGACAAGAGGGGTAAATCTGAAATAATGATGGAAGACAATCTGGTGGAGTCAATTCTCTGAGGTATCATCATTTCGGCTTCTTTTACACCTAACACTTATTCAAAAAACCTCTGAGAGTGTAACAGCATGCAGTAAGACAGAGGAGTCTTCAGCTGCTTCATCTTGCTATATAAAATGTGTATGCGTGTGTTCATGCAATATGGTATCTATCTAACAGGGACAACTAATCCAGTATCCTCACGTCAGGCTTGATGCACAGGCCCCATAAATCTGTAGAATATACGGAGGCTTCAGAATAACAAAGTTTCTGAATTTACTTTGTCTCAAAAATGCCTTGCAAAGACTGAATAATATCCAATATATGATCAAAACACCATGTCTCATACTCTCTGTTTCACTTTGTAGAGCTAAAGGAGAGAAAAGTGAAATTGAAGTAGCAATCCCACCGCAGCAACCATAGGCAGCCCCTTGACCTCACTTTGAAGAGTACCTGTGTAGGCAGTGTTTGCGTGCCTTGGCTCTCCCACTGAGTCACCCAGTGTAAGTGCAGCACTACCCTGGTGTAATGCGTGTGGTGCATAGCTGTTGCTTGCCAAATGAAAGCGATCTCTGCAGCACTGCTCACTCTCCCTGGGTGACACGAAAAGCCAGTGTTTGGTTGTTTTACAAGGGCATGTTTACTATTAGGAAGCCACGATGCCCACAAAATCCACAGTGCACCTACATGAACTTAATTTGATCCACAGTGTGGCTCTGCAACACAGAACAAAATTGGACCTTTTAAAGAAAAACCTGTTTTGTGTGCACCTGCACATTTATTATAAGTTAACATAAAGATCAAGGTCACTGCTTCAGTGGGAGTACATAGAATTTAAAGGATTCAAAAGCAGTCTGTGGTGAAGGGTGGCCTTGCAAAATTCATGTCTCGGTGACAAATGCATTGTATGCTGCAAAGGATCCACCCTGGTTCAATGCAGGCTATTCCAATTCCAATCAGTCCTCCAACTTCTGCAATGTCGAAAAATAAGAAATCGATCCCAGAGAGGTGAAACGAGGACGTGTCCCCTGGATTTATGACCGAAATCATGGCGTGTGGTTTATTTTTTTTAAGTGAAAGATAAGGATGGGTATTTCCTTTCAATCGTGACTCATCTTACATCACATTCAGCATGAATGTCATGGCATATATGAAGTTAATGACTATTTTTAACTTGAGCAGCGCACATAGGTGTGAGGTGTGTTGCTTGATAATGTCATCATGGCAAAGCAAAGTAAGTAAAGAGCGAGGGCTTTAATCCAGCTGTAATTAGAGCAGTGAAAACAGACTGTCTAGCTTTTATAACCGAAGACAGAAATAGAGCTGATACTGATTTAGTCTGAGAGACATGATTCTAATAAAATGTAGAGTGATAAATAAGATACAGTGAATTCAGAGTGCATAACACAGATAATTGACATGAGCATGGCAAAGTGATGGAGAAATGTGACTGGAGAAATTTGGGCACTCATACTGCCTCAGTAATGAAATGTCCTTTTCTCACACCAACACTTTTGGAAAGGAATTGCCATGACTACAAGAAGGAGTTTTTGCTTCCTTAACTGCTGCTGTGCTGCCCTCTTCTGGTGACTACACAAACAGCCTGTGACAACACTCCCATTAACAGTCTACTTTTTTGTTTTCTGAACAGCCTTCAGTTGATGTCGAGGTTTACTGAATTACAATTTGGGTTAACATGGGTTAGAATTATGTGTAAATATAATAAAGTGAGAGGAAATGAACAAAAGGAAATCAATAAAGATGTCAATAATCTCATTAAAGGATTATGCGGTTACCCGATGCTCATGTTGGCAAAACACTTAAAATCCAATCCCTGCAGACATCATTCACTTGCGTAACCTTTTGCAGCATCTCTCAGTGGGCGCGACCTGGTGCACACTGCCTGATGAAATAGTGTAGTCTTATTTTAGGAAGGGCTATCTCTGGTCTGACAGCAATCTAGAAAGGGAGCTTGTTCAATGGTGAGAGGTTATTTTTGGGAGGGGGGAGAGAGAGAGTAGTTGTGTAGATGAGTGTGTGTCTACATGTGTGTTTATACATCTCCTCTTTCCATAATGCTTCTCAGCATCTCTCTGAATCTTTATTCCACATCTAGAACTTGAATTCTCACCATGTCTTTGTTTAACTCCCTGTCTCCCTTGGTTACGTCTATCCTTCTGTCTCCCCCTCTGTTTTTCTTTCCCCCCATAATCATTTCTGTTAACTGGCAGCATCTGTCTGATCAGAAAAAAGTCATTCAGTATGGCCCATGACAGCAGCCTGGGAAACTGCAGGGAAATTGCTTAAGGCCATCTCACGAAAATAAATTTCACAGCACCACTGTGTGCGCGAAAACTCTCCTCTTTCTCACACTTTCACACAGCACTAAAGCACTGACAATGAATTCCTGCCTCAAGTGCTGTGAATTGAAGCTCTTGTATAACTAATGTGCTACTTTCTGTCTCCCTCCACATTAAGATACTGCTCAGTTTGGCTTAAAATGTTAGCATTTGCTCAGCGAATTGCAGCAGAAAAGAACACACTGCGCACTATGTATCCCCCATTCACCAAGGCAGACAGAATGTAAATTACTACTGTTATCCCTGGCCATGAATATCATCGACGTTACCACTACACACACCTCTTTCAACACTGGAGGTTGCATTCAAAAGACATCATCCTATTATGTTCATCAGTGAGGTGTGAATATTGGCTGTTGGCAGACAAAGAAGTAATCAACTGGTCTCCCAAATCCTTTTTTGTTGCAGCATCCTCTGAGTCTCTTATTAATTAATGATTTCATGAGTTCATGAGTGAAGACTTAAAAAGAATAACTTAATTAAAGGACATTACCACATACAAAAACACCTTCTGGGCTATAAAACTTTTACAAAATGCTAGGGGAAGTTTTTCCCTCATCTGAATTTTTTTAGGGGGAGGGTGTGGGCCCTAAACGTCATTCCAAGGGAGTTGCAGTGAAACTGGACTTCCCCAAACTTGAGTTATTGGAGTTGGATCAGTCACTGTGGCAATGTGACTTTGGTGTTTGGGACCAGAGTTCAAGATAATAACAGAGGAGCCCTCTTTTTCTATGTTAGGAATATTTATTTTGAGGCGTCTGTAAAGTATTAATTACAGGAACGGAGAGATGGACTGGCGGTGGACAGTTTTCACACTGTTTTTGAACTTTCATTTCATTTACGGGTCTCCCTCTTCTTATGACTTGTTCCAGGGGTCTGCATACACTGGAGTGGTGCACAGACACAGAAACAGGTAAGAAGCTGGTTTTATACTTGTGTGGCGAAACATTTGAACTTTTCTGCTTCTGTGAAAGTCATAACAACTAGCGTTTCTTTAATCCCACTTTTCCGTAAGGTGGAGGCTGTGCGCTTTTGTTGCGCAGTTGCCAACATAAAGGCGATAACGCCCATAGTTCTCATTGATCGGAATGACCTCAGATCGGCGAATATTTAGCCTCTTATGGTCATATGTAGCCTGTTAACATCCACTGTGCGTTTTATCAGCTTGCGTCTAAATTTGGCTCGTGTTTGCTAGAGTTGCGAAAGGTGATAAGATCCAGATAAACGCTGGAATGCCAGTGATTACTCCAATCAGTGTACAAGAGACCATTAGTCCATTTGCAACCTTTTCTGATAAACTCAAATAAGCTTGCGGAGAAAATGATGAACAAACTTACTGAGCCTTCAGGGAAAGCTCAGTAAAACATTAAGGACTTAATTGAGATGTTTTTATTATCCAAATCATAAAAAACATATCACAAATCCTAAGATATATGCACTAAAATGTTTCTTAGAGTTTCTTGGTATACATATATATCCATCTTAAAGCTCTTTTCTTTATTCCTGCCTCTCTTCTCAGGAACTGGTGTGCCTATGTGGTGCGCAGGAACGTGAGCTGCGCCGTGCAGGGGAGTGTGGAGAGCTTCCAGGAGCCCGTAGTGGCCCCATGCCCAGCCTACCAGCCCGACTGCCAGCAACAAGTGACGTGAGCATCCAGGGAGCAAGGGGAAGGGGTTGAAGGGGTGCATCATGTTTAGATGTATGAGCTAGTTCTGATACAAAATGTTTCTCTGAGTGAGACCTGGAGGCAGAAGATATTCACAGTGGCTGATGAAACTCCACTGGCAGAACCAAAAGCACAGCATTTCTAGCAAGTTAGAAAGCCCACTGAAAAGGCAAAGGGTTAAACAGGAAATGCAGCCTAAAGCTTGTTGTAATAGCAACTAGTGGACACACTTATATCACAATTACTTCCCATGCAAAACACAGTATGAGTATATATAGTGTATAACACTGATTATACCATTATCATATCACATGTTAGTGGGTGGGATATATCAGGCAGCAAGTTAACATTTTGTCTCAAAGTTAATGTGTTAGAAGCAGCAAAAATGGTGATGGCTAGACGACTGGGTCAGAGCATCTCCAAAACTGCAGCTCTTGTGGGCTGTTCCCGGGTCTGCAGTGGTCAGTACTGATCGGTGTATATTGGACATATAGGCCGTTAATCAAAGGCAGACGCATAGTCATTGAATTTAATTAGCTCCTCAGATATGTGTGATAACACTTGCCTTTTATAATCCTATCCTCAAAAAAAAAAAAAATAGAAGCTACATTAATACAGTAGACTGTAAACAATGTTCTTCCTGCCTGATAACATGCTTGTGATGTTCAGAATCACGACAGCCTCCAGCCTATTATAGTATGCAGCAGATGGAAATCAGCATACACATGGGACAGATAGCCTTTCTATTAGAAAATTGGGTCAAGAATCGCACCAATAGCTGTAAGCTAAAGGAGACTTTGGACCTTCAAAGATTATGAAGGGCATGGTCAAAATAAATGGAAAAGTTAGACATTGGCTTTCATTCTGAATGTTTACTTCCATTCAGGCAGTTACCTTTGGCCTTTGTGAACTTGTACTCAGGAACATCTCTTTGGCTCCATGAATTAAGGCTTTACTAAAGCAAATAATGTTCACCTCCAAAAACAGGTCTGGCTCTGACACTTTTTTATAAATCTCTCATTTGTGCACTAAATGTGTTAACGTACACTTACAGATGTGTCACAACTGTTTACTTGTCATTAGCAGGTATATGGCCCTCAACATAACATAACTTGATGTCCTGTTGTAGCTTTTATCATCATAATGCAAAAATAATTGACTTATCAATTACTTTAGAAACCATGTCAAAAAGACGTTGGATTTATGAGCTGTGTTCACTTCTGGGTGGAATTTAGATCCCTGCGGCTAGCCAGTAGTGAGCAGTGCATAAGATTTATTATCAGAGTGAAAAATGCATTTAAAATGTGTCATCCAAATATTTGAAAATTTGTGTTTCTTGTGTTTATTTTAAGATGTCATGGTTATAGAATTGACTAAATCTATTCTCTCACACTCTAATAACAAATACTCTAATGATTTGATTAAAGCCCATGTCTATACAAAAAGAGGTTTTAGATAAACACAACAATCTGTTTCTCATATGGTGATTAATTGTTGTAAATGGGAGTATCTACACCAGTAATTGGCGAGTAGTCATTGTCATTAATTATGTTCTGGAAGATGTCGTGTTGCAATTTTATATTTTTTCCTTTGTGAGTCATTATTAGTTGTGAAACAACACATGCTATCTGTGGTTTAGCTTTGTGATCCACTTACAAAAACACATGCGCAAGACCTACTGTGTTGTGGAAAAGATCCTGGAAACAGATCATTCTTGGGTCACAAGAGCACAAATCCAAGTTACACAGTAAAGCAAGACGAGCTAGCAATGAGAATAGATACCATAGGTTTTTCCATTTCTAAGTTATGACATATAGTATTGGCTTCATCTCACATTAGTATGAAATTTAAGCGCATACAGTTGATTACAGCCATAAGTGTTAATGTCCTTTTCCCCCTTTGTCTATTTGTCAAGCTAGGACAGTGTTATCAGTGAGGGTGACAGTTGGGAAATGTGCAAAGATGATTATTTCAGTCATCAACTTTCCAGATGTTCTGCATGACATGACCCCTGCTATCAGGGAAGTGATGTCATCCATTGTTTCTTTGGGAACTGTTTGCCTTGGCTAGAAAGATTAAACTTTCATGTAATAGGGAACAGAAGAGCAGCTCAAAAAGTGTCCATGTCCAAAAAAAAAAAGACGTTTTGGTGATTGCAGGTGTCAACTGCTCCAAAAAAAAAAGAAAAAAGACAATATTATGGGAACAGTTTAATTTTTTGGAATGGTAGAAAAGCTGTAGCGTGGACAAGCAAAACATTTTGTCAGACAGCAATATTAGGCCAAATAATGGTCAGTGTTGCCAACTGTATATTCACATTTGTTTGAGATTTTAAAAAACGTATGAATTAATCTGTTCTTGATTACAGATACCAAAATCGGTTTCGACCCACATACAAGATTGCCTTCAAGACAGTCACAGAATTAGAGTGGAGATGCTGTCCTGGTTACCAAGGTCTCGACTGTAAAGATTTAAAACCACCACCAGACCGACAAACAGTTCAGGGAATACAGCCATACTTCCCACCAAATCCTGGACATACAACCAGACACACACAGCGTAAGAAACCATTTTCTTTTCTGCCTTTGTTGTAAATTTATGCTAAATATCTATGTATCTTATTAAAGTTAAGTACCACTGAACCGCTAAATTAAGTTACCTTAGTGCCATTCTTCTTAAAGAGGAGAGACACATTCATTTGTATATATTAATAGAAATCTAATAACTCATTCTCTGATCATAGGGCCAGAACGGAGAGAGACAGGGCACCATGAGGCAAGGCATGGTGGGACAGATAAGGTACATCTTCTGGAAAGTGAAGTTCAGCGCCTGTCTCAGACAGTCCTGGATCTCCAGTCAGCTTTGACAGGATTAACTGGCAACCTCCGCACAGACCTGCAGGAAGACACAAAGAAGATGCTGGTGACACTTCTCAACAACATGCATCCGCCAGACAGTGCTACGGCTGCAGGCACAGAGGAGAACCCAGCAGTGCTGGATGGTCACCAGGCTACTAGAGGTGGGATTACTGGAGACAAGGCAATAGAAAAAATAATGGCCCGGTTGGATGATATCAACAATGCATTGAAAAGCAAGGATGAAGCCTTGGAAGACCTAAAAGGAACCATGACAAGTCATGAGGGGCAGATACGTGTCCTGATGGATGCCTCTCAATCTCAGACTCCAGCAATTGCAGAGTTTGATGTTATACAGACCTACATTGATGGAAAATTTGAAAAGCTGAAGAAAGAGCTAGACCAGAATGTGGAGGAACAGATGGCCAAGCTACAAAACTCATGCAATGACAAGATCCACACCTTGCAGAAGACCTGTGAAGACAGCCGTGACCAAGGTTTGGTCAGCCTGACCAAACTGGTTGACACCAAAGAGGATGATCTGAGAAAAGAGATCCGAGCACTACGTCTGGACATGGCTGCTGCAGATGGACCTATTCGAACTCAAAGGCAGACAGATCCAACCAAGGCAGAAGAGGATCATAGTGACCACAAAGACCTGTGGCGTGAGATTGACCGTATTGCAGATGCTCACCGCATCCTGAACGCCCGCTTTGACAACGAGCTGGTGCACCTATCTGAGTCTCCACAAGACAATGATTTTAGCCTACTGATTGAAGAGATGGAGGCACGCATTAATATCACAGAACAAAACGCAGAGACTCACTGTTTCTATATTGAAGAGAAGCTGACCCGTACAATTGCTGACGAAGTGGCAGCATTGCGGAAGCTTCTGGATGAGCGTCTGAACAGCATGGAGGACCAGTTTACAACCATGCTGGTGGAAATGAGCAACAGCTCCTTCCCGGGGATGTTTGGAGACTCCATGGATGCCATCCAGACAGAAGTCAACAATAATAAGTTCCTCCTTCAAGGTTTGGATGATAAGGTCAATGCTGTTGGAGAGCTGTGCTCTGCAGGATGTTCAGGCTCAGGAATTTCAGTCGGTGCAGTGAGTTCATCACCCACACCTAAAGTCCTAGAAAACATTTTGAAAGACCTGAGTCGGTATAGGAATGACTTGGATGTTCTTCACACAGATGTCATTACCAACAAAGACAAGCTCAGGTACCTAGAAGAATTTGTTGAAAGGCAGTCAGTTGCAAGTGAGAGACGTGCTACGACGATGGAGGACTTCAAGAAGGGACTGATTAATCTTCAAGATAATGTGCTTGGTCTGGCTGGTGCTGTTACTGGGTTGAGTGACTCCTTAAGCAAATACAATCAGGATATGCACAGAATAAACTCAACATGCTGCCAGGCAGAGCATAGTGGCACTGGGATTCCAGCAAAGAACAACTGGGCATCAGTCAGTGCAGAGCCCAGTAGTCAGGCAGAAGACACCAGACGTCAGGTGGAGGAGCTGAAGAACAGGCTTGATACACTCAGTACACAGGTGTCATCTGAACTGAGTCAGTGTAAACAAAACACACAGGGTGTTTCTGATGACATTTCTGCTGTGAATGGACGTGTGACCAGACTTGAAAAAGTGTGTGGAAGGTTAGATGGTGTTTCTGCTAATATCAAAGAGCTGAAAGATGGACTGGAGAGGCATGTCGGTGGTCTGCGAGAGTGTGTGTACAGGATGAACATCACCTGTGGAAATCATGGCGCAGACATCGTCGCACTGCAGAATTCCTTGCAGAAGTTCCAGGGACAGCTGTCTGCGATGGCCAAACATGTTTTGAAAGACGTCAGTCCAAATGGGCCAGGTGAGTTGGTGGTTTGGTGATGGTTTCATGACATTGTTGGCTATCTGTGGTAATATCTTACTTAGAAATGACAGGGATGTTTATCAATATTTATTTAATTAGAAGATCTCTGAATTTTGAGCCAATATTCAAAGGCTTTATCACTACAGAACTTTAGTCCGCCAACACACATTGAATGGATTATGTGCAGCATTGGTATTTGGCTTATAGGAGCTGACCACGTCACTCCCCAAAAGGAAGCAGCAAGCTCAACACAGTAGGGAGAAGGGAGTGACAATGATAACTTCCAACCTAAGGGAATGTAGACTTAAAGTCTGCAGGTGAATGCTAGGGTGTAGGTGAGGCTTATGAAACTCTGGGAGGGACAGATAGCTTTCAGGTAGTCTGGCTCACAGGAAGTATGCTGTTGGTATAAGTCTGCCAGAGGGCGATTATTTCAGTTGACATTCTCCTCTCTTTTCACTATCTTCCGACACTGTTTTGCAAGGCCACCGTCGCTGCATCCTTGGTTTAGCACCACCGAAGACAGTCGTGATTGTGGTTTAAACCAGGCGTCTTAAACTCAAATTGGCTCACGGCCACTGCAGGTATTGCCGTCTCATAGGAGGGACACTTCAATGTTCAATTTCTAGAAGAGAGCCCAATATTCTGAAAATATTTCCAACATCATACTTAATAACAACATGCAAACAGCAGTCTCTATACATTTTTATATCACTATTTTATATAATCTTTTCTTGTTCACAGCCAGACAACAAAAGAAGGCCTGCTCTCTTCTAAACAACCTATTTACAGGCACCTTTGACCTTTGCCATTATTTTGCGCCAAACAAAACACATTTTTTTAAATCATTTTAATTTTAATTGTAAATAAAGGAGACGTTAAAATTTATATGAAACACCTAGAAAAAATAAAATAAATGAATGATCTCGCAGGCCGGATTACATATAGTTTTTTGCATCGTGTCAAAGAGAGGGGGATTGAGGGCTGGAAAAGGACACCAGGCCAAAAGTTTTAGACCTCTGGTTTAAAGAAAAACAAGCTATACCAGAACGATAATGGTTTCATCCAGACCTTTTTCCAGCGCTGGCAGTGTTAAAACGAAATATGGAGATGAGTCTGTCTATGCGAGACTAGCTCTCAGCTTTCCAGTGTGGCAGCAGACATGGCAGCTAAGTGAGTGCGTGCGCAGAATCCTGCTTAAGTACAATATAATGAAAAGAGCGTGTTGCAATGAGAAGAGTATGCCATGAGAGCGTAACAGGGGACTGACTGCTTGAACTATGTTGCGGGCTTTGCTTCATTGGTGAATTTGAAGGACTAGTTAAACATTTTGGGAGTTGGATAAAAAGCCCGATACCACACTGCCTATTCAGTATCAAAACAAAATCCGTCAGCACAGTCCATCACCTTACTAGTTAACAGGTTACATCTTAATCTGTACATTTTTGTTTAATCTGAACTAGAAGTTCCGATTAAAAGTGTACAAGCATCTAGTTACAGTTTATGGGGGGTTATGTGCTGGACTTTTGCTACTTTTGGACACTGCCAGGCTAGCTGTTTTCCCTCATTTCCAGTCTTTATTCGAAGCAAAACTAACCAGGTCCTGGTTATAGACAAGACCACTAAATATTGAAAAGACACTGTATGACAGTAATCAAACATAGTTTATGACTTAATTTTATTGTTAAAAAATTCCATGGATTCTCACATAACTGCTGTCAGACACTGAAATGAGCCAAAAGAAGCTGGGTAAAAAAATACTGCCCAAACATACTCCTTTGCAGCTTCCTCTTTAACTTCCAACATATGAGTTTATCAAGTCTGATTAACATCTGTGTAAACACAAACTTTTCCTGAAGATAATCCTCCATATAATGCATTTTGCTTGCTTGGCTTACATGGAGGCTTGGAGGGAAGGATCAAATCCCATGAATGGCCACAGGGTATTTCCCGGAGAGGGAGGACACGGGTTCACTGGGCCTCCCGTGCTCGCCTCAAGTGTGTCATTCAATATGTCCCGGCACCGAGGCAGAGGCCCACATTGGAAACTTCCCGTGACTTAGATTCATGTTGTCCTAAGAATTCCCTAGTTTTTATATAAGGAATTGGATAGGTAAATAGGATCTTAAATTTGTACATGCCGAGGTCAGCCCCTCCTAACTATGATTTACTCTCATTGCTCCCTTATGTAGATGTCAGAACACCCGAGCAGACTGTTCCATCTTTCCCACTCCTTTTATGAACATGTTGACTTGTGAGGTATTCTTTCTTACACCATGACATTGCTTTTTTTACTCATACCACAGAACTGCAGACCTCGATCCTAGTTCCTAGTCTCTCTCTCACACACACACAGGCTCATACACAATACACCTCCCTCCCTGTCTTTCTCCTTACACATGTACACATACCAACCTCTAGAGATTCCCGTAGAGTGACCTCAGCCCTGATGTGTGGAGTCTGGTCCTCATTAAGGGCCCTGACTCACTGCTGGAGCCAGTCTTGATGGAGAGGGGAGAAGCAGGCTCCACACCCAGGAACAGATGCTTCGACTACCCTCAGCTGTGATGTCATGACTGGGGCCCCATCTCTGTTGCCTCCCTTTCTTACACCATAGTCCAAAACAATGGTATGATAGGGCCTTATGAAAAAGGAGGGTGGATGGATAAATGGTTGTGATGTAGAGAAACGAAGAGTGTGAAGGCATTCTGTATTTTACTCTTTGCCAAATACGGTCGGCTTCTTCCAGACTTTGATTTGATTTCATTAGCGTACATGTGACATTATACTGTACCTCTGCCAGCATTAAATCAAACAGAGCCGTGCATACTGCAGCAGGATTGTGAAACATTTTTGTCAGGGCTCTTACTTTATGATTATTAGTTGTTTATATATCCCAAAAAGAAAACAGTTTCTAGCTTTTATTTATATCAGAGAGCAAAAGTTCGACATTTTGAGAAATATACTCATTCACGTTCTTGCAGAGAATTTGATAAACCATTGATAGCGCTCACATTTCTGCATGCTGAGTATGGAGCTAGTGGCTGCAGTCGGCTCACTTAGCTTAGCATAGGTGAGTCTGGTCTGGTAAGAAAATCGAAATGAAATAACATGTTATATCTTGTTTGTTTAATCCGTAAAAAAGTGTGAAAAACGGCAATTTTCCGTTATGAAACCAACTTTTTTTGTCATGTAACGCATCCGTCACAGAAATACATGACACGTTATTTTGGTTTTTGTATGGAGTAAACAAACGAGATACACCTTGTTAACAAATTAGTTTTAATGGTGCTGGTGGGTGGATTTGATTACCTTTGGAAAGCGAGTTTCTCCTGTTTACTGCCTTTGTACTAAGCTAAACTAGCAGGCTGCTGGTGGTAACTTCACATTTACTGTACCGACACGGTACAGTAGTGGTTTCAATCTCATTATCTAACTCTTGGCAAGAAAGTGAATATTTCCCAAAATGTTGATCATTTCCTTTAAGGGCAAATATCATCATATTTTGATACTTTCGTGCAGATATCTGTATCCTAAATCCCACGAGACAGGGAGTTGGACCGTGTGGCAGAGGTAGCATGAAGATTTAATGTTTTCCTCAAGTTTGGCAAAGAGAGAAACAGTCCAAATAGAGATACAAATTTCCATGAAAAATCCCAGCTCTGTGGGTGTGGTGGTAGTGGTGGTGGTTGAGAGACTACTGAAACGTTTCCTCTCTCTGTTTGAGCTCATATTCTCCACTCAGTCATATGAAGACCCCGAGGAGGCTATGAACAGATGAGGTGTTGTAATAACATAACTGAAAGATTAACTGGAATTGCTTTGCCCTTACTCAATGTGACTGCTGAGATGAATTGTGTGACTTCAGTTGCAAAATGTTGGCACTGCTTCGTCCAGAGCAGCTGCTGTAGCAAAGGTCTGCCACTACAGCGTGTATGTGTTTGTTTCTGGCTGTTTTCTTTTCCGATAGGGAGTTGTGGTTAAGCAGCAGTGACTCTGTTGCATCATTTAAAAGTCTAACGACAATGTGTTATGTTGAAATTAAGCAAGAGAGTGGGTCCAAAAGTTAGGAAATGTAGAAATATGGAAAATGCTTCTGTTTTCAAAGAGCTTGAGCATGCTGTTCCTAATTCAGACGATGACTAATCAACCTTCTTGCGCTGAATTTTCTAATTCGATTCTCAAGCTGTTTTTTTTTTTTCCAACTCCTCCTGTTTTTTGGAAGTTATCCCAGCCTGGCTCAAATCACTTTCCTGTGGTTTCTTTCTCTCTCCCTTATCTCTGAATTTCTCTCTTTACTCCCTCGGTGCTCTCTCCTTCTGTCCAGTGTTTTTTCCTCCAATTTGTCCTTCCAAGAATGCCAGAGGACTTCTTTTTCTCCTGTCCCTCCACCCTGTCCTGTAAGTGTCTATTGACAGGCGAGGCCTTCAGAAAAAAAAAGTGCTTGTATTAAAGTCAGGATAAAATAAAGGCTTTGATTTCATGGATCAATGCTTTGCAATTGATCATTCTGACTTCATATTGGAGAGACAGGCAGTAAGATTAACTGTCTACCGTGATGAGGGAATACAACAATAACAAGATATCAAAGGCTTTTTTGAAGTCAAAGGGTGTCTGTTGTGAAAGAATGGAAAATTGTACCCGACACCGCCACAGACACACACTGTATATATTTAGTCAGCACCAGAATTTTGAAGGGGTGCTTTAACTGTAGCAGCTTCCCCAGAGAGATTTCTGAAGCTACGAGGTGAGGTGTTTCCATCTTTGACCAGGGAGCCCATCTGGAAGTCTTCAGAGGAGAATGGACCCAGATACACAATGGGAGTCCCTGAGGTCTGCCATGCAGTGCACAATTTGAACCTCCCATCATTAATATCGCTGGAGGAAAATGAGGCGGAGGGTGAATGTGTGTCCATGTGCATAGCAAGAAAAGGAAAAAGAAAAAAATGTCTGTCAGAGTGGCAGTGATCCATTATATTGTATGTGCGTGTAACCACCACACCCTGCTCTGTGCCCCCTGACACCATTTTCCATCGCATGATCAGCTTGTCTGCTGCAATACTCCTTGACGGTTTCAGACACTTTTGATCACTCACACACTGTCACACACCCGAATCTGCGCAAGCAGCAGTGACTAAAGCATCCCTCCCCCTGCAGTGTCTCAATCTGCTTGTAAGCAATAACATCTGGATTTGGTGATGCTCATGGTTGCACCAGTACTCATGTGTGTGTTTTTATTTTTTATTTTTTTGACTTTGCGGTTGCCCCCTTAGTGAGACACAGGCTGAGAGCTCATGGGAAATATGCACTCAGGCAACCGGCGTCCTGAAGGAGGCAAAGGGAGGAAATGAAGAAGAGATTTCTGATTATCTCAGTACAACATGATTGCCGGGTTTAATTTGTTTTTAATTATACATGCGGTTTCTGAGTAGCTAGTGGTATCCCTGGCAGTAAAAAGGAAGAATTTGGTTGATGGTTGATGATGTTTTATTTGATAAGACCAGAGTGGTTGATTACTTTCATAATCCAGAGTAACAGGCTGCTTTCGTTTGGACTGATCACTTCAGTGCAAGACTGAATGTATAATTGAATTAACAGTTGGATTCATTGAAATATTGTTGGCTATGGCAGAACTTACAGCTTATTATTTTTGTTTCAAGATGCTAAGAAGTCATTTAATGGTACCTGGTGGATTTGAGCATAAATGTTCATTCTTGACCTTGGGAATAGCGCTTTGACAAAATGATCTTAACTTATGGTCCACTGACCAGCTTTTCTCAAGAGCTTTTAACCACATTCTGTGGCCATCAGCGAGTAGAGTTTGAGCAAACTCCATATGGGTGAAATCTAACAAGTGGACTTTGATTTAAGATTAATTTATTACAAGCGCCCTCATTTTCATCGTGAGCATGGCGCATGCTGACAATAGCATCTAGCTATCATACAGCCTCACAGAGCTACTAGCATGGCTGCATACTTGTTGTAAACAGAGGTTTTTTGTTAGTTCAGGCAAAAACGCTGAAGAGGCATTCGCATCAGCTGATCGACTATCAGCTGTATTCTTCATGCTTCAGCATCTGTGGCCTTTTATTACAACAGCTGATCATCTACCAGCGGACCAGTAGCACCCAATCAGATTCACGCAGATGTACAAGTGGCCTTTATAACCTGACACTCACTTTCTCGCTTTCACACTGCTTCCTTCATTTCTACACCTCTGCTGCTGTAGCACTAACACTGTAGCTTATTTATATATTGAAGCTTGTTCGGTACCGTTGGCTTTGATAAGATTTAACATTCATGTATGTTTACAGAATATACTATATAATACATTTATTTATTCTTCCTGCAGAATCTCTGTTTGTATTCTTTGAGCACTTCCTCAAAGAGCAGATTCTTTTCCGCCAAATCTAACTGTATAATCATTTGGAATAAGTGGTCATTTCCTTAAGTGTCTTTGTCTGAATGACATTACTGTAATCGGGTTACATGAACTCCATTTATGCCCAACCTCGCCCACAAGGTTTAAACAACACTGCAGATACAGATACAGGAAGCATCAAACAAGCCATTTAACGTAGAAACCCACTGAATCTTAAATACGGCATATCACAATCTGTCTGCCACCTGGCTGTGAGAAGGGGCTGACACAAAGCAGGTACTGTAATTATTGTTGTTATTTGTCCCCAGGACACTCTCCCAGCATCTCTAAGCTCAGGCCCAGGTGATATCTGTTCCCTCAGGGGGTCTGGCAAGCGGCCAACTGGTTTCTGTTCAGATGGTTCTCGTTGTCTAAAACTCACACAGACCGCCTGCTTTGCTTTTACGAAGGGTAATAATGGTGCCGAAAAAAAAAAAAGCTTGGAGGTGCAGTGAAAGCCAGGTCTAATTTGGCCTGTCATCAGAATATAAGTCGTAAAAAGGAGAATTCACAAGAGAAGGGAGGGATGTGGTCTGAATGTGAGAGAGGAAGTAAATAATAAAGTAAATTGGAGGCTTGTGCGATTGCAGTTACAGCATTTTCCATAACCTTGAATTGGATTATAAGAGTTGTTTTGACCAGCGTTTTAATGCTTGATGCTAACTGATCATATGGTTAGAAAATTAACTGTAAAATTGATGTGTTTCCCATTCTGCCACTGTTTTTCTTTTTGCTTTCTAAGGAGTGGCCTTGGCACCAGAGAGGCCTGCTACTATGCCAGAGTCAAGTCCGACCAGAACCAGAATCCAACAAATCCACATCCCTCTCATCCTCCCACCACCGCCGTCTAGCCGCAGGCAGCCGTACAATCCCAGCCAACCAGTGCAGCCCAACACGCACACGATCAGGATCAGCCCGCCAAGCCAGCCGTCCAGCCCCCAGCAACCAGGCCACCCCACTATCCCCCTGGTTCCCATAAGGCCAGTGGTGGAGACGGGCGAGGCTGGACCTCCAGGGTACATCCGCAGGGTGACTGTGCGGAGAGGGTCCGAGGACTCGTCTAGAATGCCTGTCAAAGGATTTGCTGGAGCACCAGGTGAGTAGAGCTAATGGTGATGATGACCTTTACTGTTCTAGACCACCGTCACTCACACATGCAGCTGAAAACACACTCAGAAATTATATTTTATTATCAGTCTGAACATTAATCTGCATTAAATCTCATTTTTGTTTCACTGAAGACCACATGGATTTATGACACAAAGCCTGATTTGGTAATGCTTTAAATTATAGCCTGTAAATTACAGTGCAAATACCAGTGAAATACATACTATATACTGTAGGTACTAATGTTATGTGCAAGGGGAGGATTACAGGGAATAAGGGCGTAATGAATTTATGAACCTAGAAATCAATTACAATGTAAGTTATACCCAACACATACTAATAATGATTACAGGGCACTGACCAGGGACCAACAGGGCTTTGCCTATATGTCCTTTAATGCAAAGCAACGTCATGAAAAGGAGCCAAACACTAGCACTATTACTAATAAGTAACATATATATAAATATAAAATATGATATATTGACTTTTGTTGTGAATACACCTAAAAGAGGGAATTTGCCACAATTTTCCTCATACTGTACTATACGTTTTCAATAAGCCACAATGAAGATTTGTGAGCAAAAGTGTATTTTACTCCATAGTAGTCTGCAATCTGATAAAATTACAGTTAAAGAAAGTTGTTCCAAGTTGTTCTCGAACATTTGTTTTGATTGTGATATGGATCCTAAAACTCCCCAGCATTTTATCATAATTTTAAAAACACAAACAAAACTATTTTGTAGTTACAGCTGCAGAGCAACAACCATAATGTTTATTATAATTTAAAAAAAACATATGCCATATTTAAAAAGTACATGTACATCATAATTTTAAAATAAATACCAAAACTAATTTTATTGCAATATGCTTGTCTCTATTTACATGTCTTGTTACCTAGTAATAATATTACTGTGCCCTGTAATTATTAAATATGAACTCAGTATTGCCAAACTTCTTCTTCCCTTGTATTTGTCTCAGTATATGTATCCAGTAAAAGTCTGCTTATATAAATGAATGCTGAGACAGGAATCTGTCATCACTGCAGTGACAAGAAGGACATTTTATGTGTCATAAATCTGGCATCCTCAAGAACTTAGGCTGAGCCAGCATTAACGCATTTGTGACATAATATATGTATGTTTGCCTTTTCAACAGGGCTGTCAGTTCATAGTTACATAAGATATTCTCATCTAAAATAATCAGCAATGACAAAATCTGAAATTCTTTTTAGCCCTTTTCACACATGGAACCCATAACAAAGGTTTAATTATCCATGTACTTTGGGTTTTTTTTTCATCCACACATAACAATGCTACACATAAAAGGCTTTAAACGGAGGCCAACTCAAATTGGACGGAAGAGACAACAGATAGTCACAGAGCCAGTTCTGGATTGAATTAACTGCACTGCGTATAGGATGATTGAAGAAAATATCAAACAACAAAACAAAGCCTTTGTTTTAGCCTCCACATGGGCATGTTTTGGCAGCAAAGGAATAGAGGATAGTTTTTCAATACATCTTGTTAGACAAGAATCCTATTGAGAATGTGCAAAAATCCATGCAAATCTTCAGGCTTTAGTATAGAGCCTTCACCACTTTTAACATTATCTTTTGGGTTTGTCTTGTTTCTGTTTTATGGTTGTTGCTTTCGTTTGGAACTCAAACAACACAAATTCAATAAGCCAAACACAAATTATGTAGTTGAGATTATAACCTTTTTTGTTTTAAATTATACCATGTATTTAAACCTATCCAACAGTGTTTTGCCATAATGGTCAGATGGGAAACAAACAGACAGACAGACAGACAACTGTCTCTGGCAAGAATATTTGCTAACCCTTGTCCTCAGATGATGATAAAACATGATGTGTTTGTCATCTGTTTCTTTTGCAGGCTATCATCCTCTGCAGCCTGTGTCTTTTAAGCCTCAATCAACCCGCCGCCAAGGTATTTTAGCAGTTCATTATCAGGTTACATTGCATGCATCTGCAGGCTTTGCCATTCTACTACATCAGTGTAAGAAACTGGAAAGGCTGTGAATAATTTGTAGCCTGAGAGTGCGAGGGAGTGGGAACTGGATGTGTTTAGTTTAAGGAGGTGTGGGCGGACTGTGGAAAGATTTTAGCTCGTCCGCAGGCACTTACCAGAAAGTTTTACCCTGTTACATTTGGTGATGATTAAGAAAATGGCATTACTGAAGTAGATAATGGCTATATTCACTAATGTAAAGATGAACAATTTCTTTTTAGTCACTTACCGACCCAGGAAAGAATACAAAGACTTAATAAATGAATTAATTTATTCTGTATATTCATTTTAAACAACTAGAGACTCAATTAAACATCTATAAAAAATAAAGATGACTGTTAGAATACATAATTAACACTTATTTGTACCTTGTAGTTCCTGTAGCAGCAAAAGTGCCCTGGAACCCAATATATCAAGCTCCAGTGCAATCAGGTAAACTCCATCTTGAAATCTCTGTATCTATTAAAAAGAAGTAAATAAATCAATAGTTCAAATATGAGGATTTAGAGGGATAAGGATTTAATGTGTTTTTTCATTTACTTTATATAAAGTGAGAAACACATTGTAATTCATCTTTTAAATGAGACTTACATGCATGTCTGTTATTCCAGTTTCAGCTGTCAACAGCGCCTTTGCAGATCCCTTCTCCTTCTCTGCCGGCCTAACACAGCAGCTCTACGGAGACTCTGGCATCATCCGCTTCAACAGAGTTCTAGTCAATGATGGTGGACACTACGATCCCCACACAGGTACGCAACAACAACAGCAAAGATTATTGTATGGCCTATTTTTACTGTTATCCTGTAAATGTAATTTAAAGCTGCACTAGCCAATATTATAACATAAACAACAGGTCAATGATGTAATGTGAAAGAGGTCAGTTCTGCAGTTCTCCTCAGCTCTATGGAGCGTTTAGCGTCTTTGAGCTCATTGTTTTGGTTTTACAACCCACAAATTGACAGTCGAGGTTCAATCTCATGGCTCTCACAGGTGGGCAGTTGTTTTCAGCAATCTCCACTGTATGCTAGCTGCCCAACACCAGACGTCAGACAATGTTAGCGACTAGCTGGTGAACACAACACAATACCCGGGAAGTGTTCCTTAGGAGTTGGGGACTGAAACAGAGCTAAAAGGAGAGTGAATATTAGACTTCAAATGAATGCTAACATTGCTCCCTGTGTGCCATTTCAGTTTAATAGGGTGATAAATTCTGTAAATGGCATCTATGGCACCTCTTTGTTGTTTGACGCAGCTTAAATTGTGATAATTGTATCAATGAATGGTGATAATTTATGCTAATAATTAGCATAATTATGCTCAGACACCAAAAATAAATGTGTTATTTATATCTGAAAATAAATTAACGTATTGGGATCACCTTGAGCTTTAGTCGTGATCGTTAGCAGTGGTTTTCAAACGTGGATCCGGGAACTAACAGGTCCTTGGCATGAAGAAGTTTAGGGACATGTTGCCTCAACAACAGCTTCAGATACATTTTAAGTCAGCTTTTAAAAACTGACAAATCCAGGCTCACGTCAAAAAGGTTGTAACTTCGAAAGATATCCACTTGACTAATTCGGACCTCAGCTTTTGAATAAAAAAACATTTTCCAGGAGTTTTTCTTGACAATACAGCACAGCACTTGCCTAAAAACGGTCATATAAGCTGCAGTTTCGGTTAATTGTGTACATTAATTTGGCCAGAGCCAAGTAACAGTAACAGTTCCAATAAAGTAGAATTTATTTTATTTTACAGAAAACTAATCTTCTAGAAAGTATAAAGGGTACAATTAACTTCAGTGTGTACGTATTTATCAACCACATCAGGAAAATTGTTGTTGATGCAGAAAGGAACACTGCAAGGTTTTCCAGAACGCGTGGGAACCCTGTTTATGAAATATTTGAAAAAATGTGAACCTATAAATGTCACTCCTGTAGGCTTTGGGGAACCAATAACCAACATAAGTAAACATCTGACTCTGTTCCACAAACATAACACACATTATTGATCTTACCCACACTTTCCCTTTCTCTTTCTCATCTCTACAGGGATCTTCACTGTACCTCTGGATGGCCGATACCTGATTTCAGGTCTGCTGACTGCAAAAGAGGGTGACCGAGTACAAGCCGTCCTATCTGTGTCTAACCGCAGCGTCCAAAGGCTGCAGAGCTCAGCTGGGCCTGTGGCTGGTCAACACGGAGGCTCAGCTGGTGGTAACTGTGGCTGCGGAGGCTCGGTGTCCTTCAGCCTGATCCTGCCCCTGAGGAAAGGAGACCGCGTGGGCCTGGTGAGGACCGGAGGCAAGCTGGCCACAACCGAGGCCAGGGAGATCCTCTCCACGTACAGCGCCATCTTCCTGTACGCACCACAGGCCAAAAGATAGCTGGAGCTCAGCTGGGCAGTAACGGAAAGGACTAGGTTGTTCCCAGATAGTTGGACTGGAGGAAATGTTGAAGAAGAGTTTTCACTGATTGGCTGTGATGCAGCTGTTTCACCACACAATGCCACTGTGTGAAGATCCTCAGTTATAAATTCAGTTAAGACGTCATTACATTGTAATTTGTAAGCCATTTGCCAAATATACCTGCATACAAGAAGCAGAATTTGTTTCTAATATATTTGATTATCAAGTTGCCTTTTTGTACCTACTGTTAAAGTCTTGTGTATATAAGTGTTTTTAAATTAACAATACAATTCATAGAATTTAATTATTATTTTAACGAAACCATCTCAGACACTCATTATACAGTATGTTGTTTTTAGACAAAAACAGTCCTTTTACCTGGTAGAACACAGGAGTTGCTGGTCCACCACTGCCTTGATCCACAGCATTTAACCCTTGTTCAAGGTTCAAGGTTAATTTATTTGTAAAAGACGAAACTTTGCTCTTAATGTATAAAATATAAAAACAACAAGGATAAAGATGAAAGTGCTCCAAGCTCTAAAAATCAGGACTTACAAAGAGAGATCAAAAAAAAAAAAATGCAGGTAAAAGCAAGAACAATTCTGTGCCATATTACTACAACTTGTTGATCTGAACGATAGCTGCTGGAACAAAACAATTTTTATACCGCTTGGTTCTACATCTTGTGACCATAAACCTCCGTCCAGAAGGAATAAGTCAATGTGCTAAGGGCAGGAGTCGTCATTTAAAAACTGTAACTGCCTGCTGTAAAGGGATTCTGGGTTAAGCTTTGACTCACCAATCAGCCTACTATTACTACCATTAAACAATATGACTGAGGGAGTTTCCTGTTCTTTAAAGAAAGGTTTCCAAACCATGATTTGGACCAGAACTAACAAGTTAAAACACTGAAGTCACAATAACGCACACTAACTGAGGCACTGTTAGACCAGCAACCCTTGTGTTCTCCAGGGTGAAATTAGTCTTGTGGCTTTGAAGAGAGTGATATTAAAAGGTTCAGTTCTTTGTCAGAAAGAACAGTTTGAAGGCAAAGTAAAGCAATGAAAATATTCTAAATATAGCGTACACTTAAACCCCTACTTCATTATCTTAGGTGGCTAAAATCTGTATTGTTGCTGCCCCAATCTACAGCAGTACATTCCTTAGCTTCTGTGCTCCTGTCTGCTTCCCCAAACTGGGGGTGTGCTGAGCACCATCTACTGTAGGTAATACACTGACTGACTAGTACCTCTTACAACCCCCACTTCCTAAAATCTGAACTAAACCTTTAATATCACAAGTTCTACTGGCCTCAGAAACTGCATTGAGAAAGTCTAGGCTGGAAGGCAAAAACCCCATATGGGTCATTACATGAAGTGGGTGTGGGTGAAAAATAAAATTCCCTTCTCCTCACTTGTGACTTATAATTCTAAAACTTAAAATATTCCAACAGCAAACTCTTAAGAAGCAGGGGGAGTGTATTTAGCCTTCAGTTCAGCCTCTGTAAACCTTTAAAAAGAGAAAAATACTGTTTTATAAACAATTTACCAAATAGCGATCCACTGAATTACTGTCTCTCTAACTCTTTAAGGTTTGTGTTATTCGACACCGAAACATGGAACTGCTTGAGGGATTTTAACTGCAGTAAAGTCATTCATGAATTTTCACTTAAAAAAATAAGCAGCAGGGTAAAAGTTACTCGCCCGTGGTTACTGTTGAACTTTTTGACTCAGAATGGAGCACACACGCAAATGTATTCAGTTAGAAACTTTATTTAATACAAATATGACCACAAGCCACACTTTGTTAGCTTCATTAGGCCTGTATTTTTTTTTTCTTCATACAATGTATTTTGTTCTTTAAACATACTTTAAACCACATTTCTATACAAATCAAACACAGCATACACTTAAGGTATTCCTGTTGGTCAGACACAATCAAATAGCAAGCATTACCTTCAAACAGAATGACACAAACAGAGTCCCACAAAAGATCATACACTTTATATGAAATAATAAAAACAAAAAAAAAAAAGGCATCAAAGACAGAAGAATGTGATGATCAGCATATATACTGGATCATTTTCCACAGCAGTTGAGTGAGAACAAACAATATTATATACCATGTATCCCAGGATCATAGAGGATGAAGTGTGATTCTTCCACACAAGATGCTTTACTTTCATAGAAAGAAATGGAATTCATTTTGTTAATCATGAGATATATCTATTTGACTTCACCAAACTTTGTAGAGAACAAGCAAACAAATCAACGCAAAACACGCATCTCAAATCATCACAGAACATCTGAGCTACAGAGTGAATGCGGAAACACTTCAGCGAAATAATAACAGGCTGATAGCGACAAATCTGGATGTACGTAATTGTATCGGAAATTGTGCTTTTTTATCATTAAATGGTTCTGTCTGTCAAGTCTCCCTCCGACTCTTTTTTAATCCTCACTAACACATATTAGCATGTTACTGTTACTCTTGTGCTGGAGGTATGATCCATGTCAGTGGAGTGGCACATCTTGCCACAAGTCCTTTCCTTAAAACATACATGCATAATGCCAGTGAAGCGCTTCAAATGGTTTTCTGTACACAGTCAAGTATTTCCTGTTTCTCTTTCTTCGGGCACCAGAGGCATGGGAAAAGTCTTTCCTCTTTATCTCTTTCTCTCTATCATTCACACACACACACACACACACACACACACACTAAGTGGTAGCTCGGTTCAGCACCCAAAATAAACATTATTTTGTTTTTATCTCCACATTTACTCATATTGGCATATTTCAGAATAGCTGATTTGTCAGTGGTGTCAGAAGGTCACTCACACAATAAAGAGGTAAAACTAGAAACTCTTCAGTGAAGTGCATGTGGGTGAGAGGTGTTTTGAGTTGCATCTCTGGGTGCAGCTTAGACAAAGTGCGTTGGATAAGTCTCGGTAAAGCCACTGAGGGAACATAAGCGAAGGGTGAACAATCCGGTCACCCCCAACAGCAGCAACACGCAGTGATTAGGTATGCACACACGCACGCACGCATACATACACACACACACATCACCCCGTGGTCATCCTACAGAGGACCTCACAAAGCTCTCTCCAGATCTTCTTATTTCCACTGTTCCCACTCAAGCGTTATCTTTTACATTTAGACACATATTTTAATACTAAAGCTGCAGATTCTGAGGTTTGCTAAGGAATGTGTATTAACCTTACTTGTTTCACTGTAAAATAAGGAATACAGATTGCTGTGAAAATGGGATACCAGACTTAAAAAAAAAAAAAGAAGATCGTACAAGGCCGAGCAGTTACTGTTAAGTGCATATTAACCTGTGACCAACCACATTGCATTGGTGATAAATTACTTTTTCAGACAAGCAAAGGCATCACGATAGAAATCAATAACTTAAACATATCAATTATCATAAATAATGACTGCATTGTTAACAAAACACACTTGATTCGCCAGAGCTTGTAGAACAGAATAAACATTAAAATAACAGCAAGACAATATACTACGAAGCTGCTTCATTTTGTTTTTAAGTCACATCTAAGTGTGTATCTTCACATACATGTTGGCAATAGTATGTCCCTGGTTGACCTACAACATTAACAATACCAAATATGACTCATTCGGTACCAACACCGTAAGCTCTCCAGGGAAAAGGTGGCAATCTGAAATCTGTTCCACCAGCAGTGAACTAATGACCACAGTCGAGAGTGTCAGGGACAAAACTGAACACCTACAGTAGCTTTCAACTAACCACTGTGTATGGTTCGTAGGTGGTGTAGCAGTTATTGGTCACTATCACTATATTACTTGATGTTTTAGAACAGAATGCAGCCTCCAGATAAAGGCTGGATACGTGCGTATAGGCAAACATAGTAGCCACAGCAAAATATTACCAGCACATGAGCAGCGGCCAGTGTTAATTGCCTATCCCGTTTAATTAACAGTGTGTTTTTTCACCCCTGCTCGGAATGTTTAATTTAACTTCTTCAGGGCTTTCAGATTTTTTTTTAAATTGTGACAAAAAAAAAAAAAAAAAGGAAATGGGCTATAGTCTTTTCCTTCTGCACAGCTCAGACTCTAGTGCTGAGGGCTAATGCCTCGTGTCGTTGCTTCAGTCGCTTCCCTGATGGCAAATGCAGATCGTCCTGTTAGCTGGAAGTTTCAGAAAGAAAAGATGGTCTCAGATCTTCATCCCCAGACAGTGATGGGGACTAAAGACTGCTCATTGGGTTAGGATGAAGAAAGATGACAATCTAGTTGGTGATTAGTCTCTTGTCTCTCTGGGATGACATTTTTCAGGGATTATTCACCAGGATTTTCTGTTCAGAAGAGAACTTCCACTCATGTCTAATGGGTAATTACAGTTTACAAGCTTTTTTGTGTTTATGGTCATAACCCTGTTACTGTTTCACACTCATTGTAGATTTGAGAGTGTGCCTGTCTGTATAGGAAAGTTTGAGTTTCAGTCCATGTGTTTCCTGGAGACGCATTCAAGTGCACAGTCCAATTGCATGTATATGAATACATGGGTGTCCGTGTCCACGTGTTGGATCAGAGCATTTCATCGGGGTTGATGACTGGTATGGGCTGTCTCCAGTAACAGAAAGAACTGTACTCGGGCATAACAAAGGCCTCGTTCTGCTCTTTACTCAACAGAGGGAACACATGCTCCACCAGCTCACTGAGCCTGCCGTAACTGTGGAGAAAGAGACAAGGTCAGACAGAGAGACAGAAAAGTGTGGGTAGACAGAGAATAGACATAATTAACAGTTAAACACTGAAATCTGGAACATTTATTTCTTAGATAGTTAGCAATCAGGCAAAAACATAATAAAGGTTTCTCAAACTTCTGGATCTGTATTAAAATGCCTAAATACAGGAAGTAAAAATTAAAGCTGTATTATTTATTTTTTGGCCACTTGAGGGCAGTGAAACAAGCTGTCATCATATAGTTATTATGGTGTTAGCAAACAGTTTCCTATTTATTTAAACATCCACCAGACACTCAACATTAACATTTATTTTAGATTCTGTTTCTGGCCAGGAGACAGATTGAAGTCCAATATTCACTCTCCTTTCAGCTCCATTTTGTCATGCTCCAATATATTCAGCAGCTAGCCGCTAACTTTGTCAGAGAGTAAACTAAAACAAAAGCTGGGGGCTCTAAAACCAAAACAATGACCTTAAAGACGCTGAAAAGCTCAAAATGAGCCACATGACAAAGCTCTGTAGGTACCACACTATGATCTATTGTAGTAGATCATAAAAAATATTGATCCGTTTAAGCTAATATTTTTATCTCCTGGGTTTTCTATCAGATATTTTCTCCACTTGTAGTACTAATTCTGATTGGACCAATGTCTTATCCTTACTATTGGTAATCTTTACAGTGAGACGGACAGAACCAGTCCGTTAATGTACTTACGAGGACTTGTTTCCCTTGGTCTGCTCCTGGATCAGCTCTCCTTTGGGGTTGACTGTGAAGATCCTACACACTGGAACCCCCACCTCCTTATAGGCAAACACATCCTGTGTGAAGACAAAATGGTTAAAGTCAATCTGTGATCCAAATGTAAACAAAATGAGTGCAACTGAAATTTAAAACACAGGATATTCAACACTCCCACATTGAAGTTTTCAGATGTTAATGTTTACAGGCTATTGTTTTAAATTATGAAAAAAAATAAAAATAAATTCATCTTAGATAAAAGTATGTGAATACAACTTAAATTTATATGGTTAAAATTTTGAGATTGGGCCTTTAAAAGCCACTTGAAAACACACTTGATTATGTAATATTCAGAAAGTAGCTCTCATACACAACACACACTGGTACAGACTGACATAAGCACATTAATGACATTAACCACAAATTTCCTGTTTGTGTTCCACCTAATGCACGTAATGGCAACATTTCTAGACTAAATGTTTTGGTGGGCAAATGCAAGACTGTGTGTGTTTATGTGTGTTATTTTTTTGTTTTCTTTTCTTTGGCGAGCATTAGAGACAGACAGAGGACTGAAGGCTGACACAGTGCTTCATCTGGGTGTTGGTGTTTATGCAGCTGAAGATCGGCTGCTGTGCCCGGCTTGAGCTCCCTTCCACAGACGATGTCACATGGGACCGTACTCCGCCAGTGACCTCAGCTCAGGTTCAGCCCAGTACTGATTTCATATGTTTGTGTCTAGTAATTGATAGTCAAAGTGTCATGCTGATCTCACAAAGCATCATGACTGCATCGACTTCTGGAAAACACAGCTCTCTGACTTATAAGAAAAATGAGTGCTTTAATGTCTGACATGTTCAAACGTCCATTTACTCACATTAGTCCTATTCCCAAAGGCGGCGTAGAATGGCTGCTTGTTATGCTGGAACAGGTTCTTGATATCTGTAAGGCATTCAATCTTGAAGATCTCTGGTTTCTTCTCAATGACCTCCCTAAAGCAAACAGGCAGTTTGATTAGAATTACACACATATCCATGTCCTTAACATGGGTCAAGTCTGAATTTGACTTGGCCAAATACATGGTTACTTTGTCTCAATATTCTTTATTTTAATCTTTTTTGTTTACATTTGAGTTGTTTTCCCCCTGTAAATAAAGAACAGTACGGGTATATGTTATATACTGTGCTAAGCATCTAAAAAAAAATAGCAGTTTGGTCCAAATAGTCCAAATGTGGGGATGGTAGGGATGTTTCTGTTACATGCAAATTAAATCAAGAGAGCCATGTAAATAATGCAAATGTGTAAACTTTAAGACATCTCACAAAAATGCACGCTGTTGGTTGCTATGGTTGCATATTAACCATGATGTACAAAGTAAAGGTCACAGAAAAAATCCCATTGCCGTGATAAATGATTAAAACAAAAATACAACAGAGCAACATCTCAAGTACTCTAGTAACTAAACAGAAAGTTTGTGCTAGCCTTTGACAGAACACAGGTAAAACTGAGAAAAAACACTGGCCATGCTACGTGCAGGACATTGATAATGACTGCGGTTTGAGTGTGTTGTGTGCATACAGCATTTAAGCCAGAGGGTAGGAGATGAGAACAAGGATTTACCCAACGCCAACGAGCCACTGAAGTGTTATAGTTGTTAATTTAATTGACGTTAACTGTTGCAGAACTCTATAAAATACTAACTATGGATCAGTCACATCTACTACGGTAAATCTTGTTACCCAAGACCAATTATTTTAGCATCAATTCTCAGCTCAATTGTGCCATAAATATAAAAACCCTATGTCAGCATCGCTTATAGTCTTTATGGTGAAAAATGTAGACAAATGACAATCTTCTCCTATAATATTTCTTCCACAGCTCATTGTTACACAGAAATCAATTGCCATTCTCTTAAGTCTACCTAGGTAATGAATAAACATGTCAATCACACATCAAAAGCGACGCCTTGAAGGCTTTCCCCCAAAATAAGAAATAATTCACCAGTGTTCAGAACCGACTGAAACCAGAAGTTTACACAGTCAAGAGACAGCAAGAAAAGAGTTAAGAGACAGCAAGAAAATAAGAACACACAAATACAGTATATTTCTAGGAGCTGATGGCAAGGCTACCAACAGTTAACACCTATTCAGGTGGATACGGTACGAGTTTTCTGCAGTTTTAACAACCCTAGCATATGAAAGGTTAATTACAATGAAGGAGGATTTGGAGAGGATTTGGAGTCGGAGAAACTTGTGGATATTTAATGAGAAATTAAGTTTGCAGACAAAATGGATTACAATTTGAAGGAAGACAAATATGAGGTGGTTTGAAATCAGAATTAACCTTCGGTGATAAGGAGGATTTCATGTATGCGACTTTGGGAATAAGAAGTATTTGGCTTTATGATACTGAAACCTGTAGCCATTTATAATGTATATTACTGTACCTGTGGAAGGCTGAGAAGAGGCTGCTGGGAGACAGCATGAGAGGTCCCCGGGGGAGAATGGTGCCTCCATCATTGACCCACTGCAGGTAACCTCTTGTCATGTCCGCCATTCCAATAGCCCTTGCTGAGCAGTACAAGAACTTGTAGCCGTTCCTGCCAAAGGGGAGAGTGGGGCTCATTAATGGTTGTTCCAATACGGTTAAATGTTATGACCATCATTAATAACTACTAAGAATAGCACTTTAATTAGATCAGTTATATTAATTGCTTTCATAATGCGCAGAAGTCATACCAATTCAATGAAAATTTTACTGAGGAAAGATTATATTCATTATTACTGCTAATGGTCACTATAGCCCATTTCCTCCTATGTGTATTACATTTTCTATTCTCTGCATGACCAAAGCACAAATGACAGGTCAAGATTAAAGTTTTCAAACTAACAAAAGGGAAATACAATAAGAAAGTGGCCAAACACTGACACAGTCTCATGGTGTTTTTATATTGCACAATAATTCTGTCTTGATTATAGTTAAAACTTCTTGAGTCATCCACCTCAAAGCACCCCACGCAAACACTGGGTTTGATTCTCCAGTTCTGTGGAGTTGATATTTTCTCCCAGACAGTGCTAACTACTGACCAACCATTCATCCTTCCTATGTGATTAATCAGTGTTGTTGTGCACTTACTCAGCTACTGAGTGGTAGAGCTTGGCAATGCCCTGGTGGGTCCAGTCCTTCCCCAACTGTGGCAGGATTTGTCCAAACACATCCGACCTAAAACGTTAAACACATACAAAACATAAGCAGATGTAGAGTAAGAGAAAAAATGTGCACGAAAGAAAATAAAGCAGAACGGTAGTACAGACGGCTTAAAGGTCACCTAAAGCACCACAACTACTTTACCATTTCATCATAAAAAGGAAACATTATGGACTGTTCTCCACTAATGAGGATTACTAGCCCACAGGGGAGGCACTGTCTCAAGCTCAGTTTATGGCTGAATGTAAATGGGCTCATTATAGTCCCCGTTACTCAAAGAAAGCCACATGTCACAGGTTGGCCTAAAGGGTCACAGAGATAATAAGCTTCAGTTTGATGTTGACCACCTATGAACCTAAGAGTAGGCGTCAGAAAAGCAGCAGACATTCGGTTTGTGTCAAAAAAGATGGAGCTAGCCTTAAGCTAATTAAAAGGCTTAACATAAATAAAACTGGATTATGGACTTAAAGTATCTTTGTGTAGGATTTAGTGGCATTTAGTGGTAAGCTTGCAGATTGCAGGAGAAAATACAGTGGCTGTGTAACCCGCGAAAAACATAAAAGGCCCCATCCAAAAGCGGTGTCTGGTTTGTCTATTGTTGTCTAATGTAGACATATGGCAGATCAACATGGCCGACATGGCTGGCTCTGATAGAAAGGTATCAGAACATAGTGCATCACAGTTTGTTGCGTATGGGGCTGCATAACATTATGACCACCAGGGTGCTTGTTTACCTTAATGTACATATCTAATCAATATTTGGTATTTATTAATAATATATTATGAGTATGTACAAGCTCATATATACAACCTAAGAAAATGCATCAGAACAAAATCCCATGCACTGGTGGAGAACTAGCCACAGTCGGTATAGTTGTAGACGTTAGAAGAGTTTTTCCCTAATTCCACTAAAAACAAGTTTACCACAAATTACAGAGTACATTCATGTGTGACTTGGAGGCACGTACTTGGTGATGGTACCATCAATGTCAGAGATAATGACTTTGTCGTCCCAGTTCCACAGGTAGATGGTGCCCTCGCAGCGGCATGTGCCCTGGTACTGGGTGGTGATGCTAAATGTCACATCATTAGGTCCCTCCTTCAGTTTCAGACTGGCCTGGTAACACAAGGAAAAGAGTGAAGGCATCTGGAGGCACAAGCAATTTCATTCACTAACATGTGTTCCAACAGTGTGGGCATTACTCTCCAGTATGTACTGTGGCAAAACCAACCAAAGAACATGTGCAGGTCTTTAGAGCCCCCTACAGACTTTAAGTGGAGAAAAAACTATGCACTTGCTAGATAGCCAGCAGAGGGAGCTCTACACTACAAAATAAACCCTTTCACTGTTTGCAATCTGACCAATCATCTATTCTTAAAACAATATTAAACTGTATTTTAATAATATATAAAAGTTATTGGGCAGTAGAATGCTATATTGAAGTTGAAGTTGGCAGGAAGATTTTGAGGAAGGAAAACATTTCTAAGAATGTACTTACTATCTGATCAGAGGAGAGGCGTAGTGACTTCCTGTAAGTATGTGGGCTGGGGTGGTGCTGACCATCTACTGACTGCAGTCTCTCCTGACAGGATGCAGCGATCACCTCCTTGGCCTCTTCGTCACTGGATGAGTCTCCTGCTTTAGGCCTAAAAAAGGAAAACAAACAATTATTGTCTTTTTACTGTATATACATAAATTACTTGGCTGTGACCTTTGTACAGTTGTGGTTGTATATTACTTTATTACTTTTCTGTTCCCATTCAATTGTTTTATGCAACTTCTAAACTGTTTAAGACTTGAAGCTGATTAAATACATTAAATTAAATTTGACTTAACATACTCAGCCTCTGATGACCCTGCCGAAACACCTTTGTTTGTCGACATTATCTCACAATATAATGTGATTATGTCGAGTTGACATAAAAAATTGATTTATGAAGCTGTGGATTTCTTTTTTACGATGCCATGCTAGAGTTCAACATGTCACTGAACTCATTTGACTTGACTTGTGTTTTGAGTATCAATAAAATCATGCTACCACTTACGGCAAGGACAGTTTCTCCTGAGATATGGAGGGTCCTTCCTCCTCCAGATGAGAGTCCTCCTTAGTTTCAAGCTTAGTCTCCGACTAGAAGAATAAAGTGAAAATATCCAAACATATAAAGTAAGTATAAAAACAAAAGGATGTAAATATGGGCGTTACATTTTTAATATAATAACATGTGCACACCTGCTTGATTGTACTATCCGCCCTTTTTCGCCAGAACCACCAGCGGCCTGACTTCTTTGGCATTTTCTCCTTCATCCAGGCCTCCTCTGTAGCCTAGAAAATAAGAATACAAAAACAATTAACAATGAGCTTGTTGCCAATTTAAAATGATCCAGAAATACTGACAACACATAGAAGAGAAAACCAAGATCACAGTTACCTTTGGTAAATTCTTCTGAAATGCTTGTAGACTTAGAATCAAGGGTGCAGCGAGTGTCCAATTATAATACCTGAGAACACAAACATTAGTTCAGAGACCATATTAACCATATACTTAATATATCTCTTCCACACTTGTGAAATAAAAATGCTTTACTTACCTATTTCCTATCTTTACTACAAGGTTAGGGTTATCTATAATTGCTGGGTTTTCAGCAAATTCATGATAGGTGATGATATGCTCCATGAACCTTTCTGCAAACACAGGAGGGAGAGGAACATTAATTAAAGACAGCAGATGAAAAGGTCAGTGGTGGTGAGACGTAACATCTTACTTAAAGCCACACGGAAAGGTCAGAAAACTTTTTCTTCCATCAGCCACAGCAGCTGAGATGAACACTTCCAGAAGGGTGTATATGTATATATATATATTTAATTTACTGACGCAGATGAAGATCAGAGAGAAAGACAGAGTGGTTGAGACACAAGACAGAAAGTACTTTTGGGATTCATCCCTAATAAAATAACATGTTTCCTTAAAAGGAAATGTGGGTGCAGGCATTGTTACTGTTAAACGCACAGAGCTGAATATAAGGAAGTCTCTATTGGCTGAGGCTAAATTCCTGTCCTGCACAGAAGTACTAAGTGTACTTTCGGCTACATTTTTTATGAGTACCATGCTGGTGTACCTTTGGATATTTCAGCATTCTCTGTGAGGCCTCCACACAGAGAAAGAGTGACGTCGGGGAGGTCACTTGCTGAGTCAGACAGACACTCTGTCCCGCTGTCAGCCGCTGCACTACCCACTGACTGTGGAGACTGTGAACCAGAGGGCATCTCTGAGTCCATCCAGTGCTTAGTCGCCGCCTCAGACTCACTGGAAAAAACAAAAGAGAAAACTATGTCAAAATACTGGTCCTTAAGGCTTTCAGTGTTATTTCAGGAGAAGAATATTTCTGCTATGCTTATTTTTAAACTAGACCACATTTAGCTTTCCATTTCTATTTAAAACAGGTCAAGCAGTAACATTAATTAGGTGACTCTTTCATAACTAACCTCTTAGGAAAATACCGTGCAGCAACATCAGGTTCAAGTACATTCAGGTCATCTAGGTAGATATCCTCAGGACCCTGATGCTGGCTCCTCTTTGGAACACCTTCATTCAACAATAGAATCATGTATGAGTTAATGCACAACCATAATAGTGCTAACCAGGAGATGGCAGAAAAAGTGGCAATATATAACCACCAAACGTACCTTTCTTCTTCGAGGGTGAATCACTCAGTTGGCTGTTGGAAGGGGTGGAGGTTGCCATGTTGGATGGCAGGACATCCAGGGGCTCTGTGGAGGTTATGGGGCTCACAGAGGTTATAGGGCTGACAGATGCGAGAGGATTTACAGGTGTTACAGTGGTGATAGGGGTGCGTGGCTCGGGCTTGACAATGGTACACACTGAGCAGGAAGCACCATCTTCCTTTTCAATATCAGTCTCATTCTCCATGGCCTCAGAGCTGAGGATGACGCGGAAGTGGGTGCTCTCTGATGGGGTGATGGTCACTGTTTTTAGTAGTTCTGGTTTCTCTTTTTTGGTGACCTGGATATTGGATATCAGGGAAAACATAAGTTACTAAGACAAGAGTATACAGAAAATAATGTATACCAGTTTTAGTTTTTGAGAGAAGTTTTTACCCTGGTTGTTTCTGGAAACTCTCCCCATGTCCACTGCATGTGGGACTCAGCTCTGAGCAAACTCTCTGAGGGCCTGACCATCAGTTCAGAGTCACTCTTTGGGGAAAAGGCCTGAGACAAGCCATGACTAAACGGAAAGATAAACAAATGCAAACAGTCTGTTTAGTTATCGCTGCTACGCTCTTGCCAGTTGCTCTATGTTCGTGTCAATACATACCTGTCATCTGCCGGCCAGTCCCCATCAGACAGTGGATAACCATCCAGGCTGTGTCTGGCTGCGGGTAATTTGGGGTCAATGTCTCGCATTGTGGTCACTGAAGGTGACCTAAATCCAGGGTGAAACAGATAAATTAATCAGATAAATTAACTCAGTTCTATTTAAACAGATCACTGACCCTTAACCTACCTTGAGACACGTGATGCAGCTTCCTCGTCAGAGCTCAGGTCCATCTCAAAGATCTCTTCATTTTGCCCAGTGCTGGACATAGCAGCGGTCGTAGCAGCAGGTGCGTTAGCAGCAATAGCATTACCAGTGGGGACTGACATGGGCGGGGTCAGCTCCTCTCTTCGGGGGTCTCCTTTGTGCTTCTTCCTCCGCTTCTTCTTCTTTTTTGTGGCCATGGTGCTCGGAGCAGGAGGCTCGGGTGGGTCTTCTGGGTCAGCAGGGTCATCCTCCAGATCTTTTGCTGCCCTGTGCTCAACCTCTGAGATCCAGAACAGGTGACTCTCGGTGGGGATTGGGGAGGTGGCCAGGTGGGCAGGGACAATCTGCTAAAAGGATCAAGTGAGAGTAAAGGAACTTAAGGATTAAGACATGTTTAATGAGCCCTAGTGTGAAGCTTATGACTCAAGTCCAGAACAGAGCTGTGGTCACAGTGAAATATTCTGAAAGCTTGAGCAATTGACCCTAATTGCACCCGAAAAATGTAACAACTGCATAACAGTGGAGTAATTTCTTCACACAAACATTGCCCAACACATGTACTGTAGTACTGTTGTAGGCGTTAATAACTGTTGTTGGGATAAGTGGTCATGAGACACTATCTTTCTGGTGTAGTGTGCACAAAAACACTGCTGAATCTGGTATGATTGCTCATATGTTTATATTTTCTTCAAAAAAATTCTTAAGGCATCTTCAGATTTCTTTGAATAAAAAATATATTTGTGAAGGATGACAATGGCTGCTACGCTGAAACACATACTAATCTCATTCTAAAAAGGTTTTGAGTCTTTGCTTCACAAGCAACACAACAAATTAGAAACCTGGAAGCTGTCCATTCAATATCTCACTTCACTTTAGCTTCATTAATATTTGTAGTGAATTGGGTGCTTACATTCTGCTGCTCAGATTCCTGAACAAAAAAGGCCTCTCCATTGTCACCAAGCTTCATGTGCAGGTCTACAGGTTCTCCATTCACTTCAATGTCGATCTGGAAGAATTACAAGCAATGTAATAGTACAGTAATTTTAAAGTACCTTTTTATGAAGAAAAATGTAAAATCCTAATCAGCATGTGTATTTATCAATCCATATAAATGTGACGATGCCTTTTTAATTGATTTTAAAGTAAATTAGGTCTTGTTATACTTCTAACATGTGCTGCATAGAGGGACTGTAGCTACTTAGAGCCCCATGTTTCTCCTGGGGCTGTGCAAAATCCTAAAGTGTATGGGTCCTACGGGGCTCGCATTGTGTGGAGCCTGCCAATAAAACAGGGCCATTCATGTTTGCCAGCTAAACCCCCAGTAGACCCGAGGCCATTCAGAAACTTGACACCACAAAAGCAAAAACCAGGTCACGCCTGGCAGAGACTACAGAGTGGGCAGCAGTCTGCCCAGTCTGACAACCTGAAACCAAATCATCAATATTAATTCTCAAACCAACATCATCTGTTTTTTTTTTTTTAAACTCTCGTGGACTGTCATGTTTTATCTTTCCTTGTGCTTCTGTCCTTTACTGCCGGTGTGGTTTCTCAGCAGCCTCAAGATTTAATTTCACCCCCCTCAGGGTTGCTGAGGGAAATTTATGTATGGCGATTGATGGCTGGGAATTTCAGTGCTCAATTAATAATGAGCCAGAATAAATGAGAGTCCTCTTCAACCTTTCACTGTTGGCGACAGGTCACTTGAGTGGCTGAGTTGTGGATTTGCCAACACCATGCTGGATTACTGGAATTAGCGGAGGCAATGCCTGCAGACGCTCAAAATTAAAGCATAATATTGGGTTGTTTCTCTCTGACAGCACTAGCCAATGTGACTTTTGAGGGTCATGCTTAGTTCTCACCAGAAAAGGGATGCATAGCTGATTTTAGTTATAAACCGAAATGTTTTTAGACTCAAACAGTACTTTAAAAACATTTCTGGTTGCCAACTAAAGTGACTAATGTATGGGGACAGATACACCATCCACAGCCACGTTTGATTCCCACTCTGAATTTTTAAAAATATGTGCATGTCAGGAAGACACTTTTTTTTTTGGTAACTTCTAAAAATATATATATATTTAGCAGCAGCCCTCGAGGATCTGATCTGAACTCAGGGACACATGCATAACTGTTTGTTACACAACAGCCCTTGTTGTGGAGGCCTTCTTCTTCTTCTTCATGTTCCCTCCCCCTCCCACACATTCAAGTTGTAGAGCTGTTGCCATAGGAACCACTCATTCAGTCCCCTCTCCAAATCCATCAGCATTCTGGGTAGGTGGTGAGACGGTGTCAATCCCCCCACAAATCATCACCCACTCTGGTCCACAAGCAGGGAAATAAGCTTTTTACAAGTCAGAGCACACCGATACTGTTGCCATGAACAAGTTCACCATTGATAATGATGTGGTGGGAAAAAATATATTACATTTTAGCCATCAATAATTGATTCCAAAAAATATTTTTTATATAGGCTGATAACCTCGGGTAACCCAAGTTTCCCTTACAGGAAAGCTTATGTTAACTGATGCTAAAGCAGGTTTTTATTACAATCCTTCAAGTAGACCTGCTATTTTTAAAATACATAATATTTAGTGCTCCCATTTACTTTACATCAAAACTACTATAGAAACAGCCTTAGCTCCCCCTACCCATCAATTAGGCCATCGCAAAGGTGCTACAGAAACGCTTTTATCTCAAGGGAGAAGCGAGTGCTAAAAATAGCATCATTGTTCCTGAACCATGATGAATTAGATCTTCTCTCCAGGCAAGAATATATAGTAACAACTACTATCAATGAGGGAGAACAGCCCAGAACATGCCATCTGTTCTGCAAACAGAACCAAACATTTCGTTGAATGATTCAAAAGATGCTCCATTGAAGCCATTAATTCTGGCTGAAATCCCATACATCCGAATGGGTAACCTGACTGGTACATGGGGCATCCTATATTCATTAGGGTTGAATGATTGGACAGATATATCGGCTATCTGCGATTAGCTCAGTCCATCAGCAGTATTATTTTTTGCAATTCTTTGGGCGATTGTAATTTTATTTTGCTAATTTAATACTCCGAAGAATGAGAGGAGCTCAGTGACAGACGCTCAGTGGCACAGAAATGAGCTACTGCAGATCCAATGTATTTTCACATCTAACTACGGTGATTTAAGGGTTTAGTTCAACTAGTTTGTCGACGGGGAATACAGTTACAAGGTGATTTGCAGAGGCTCCAAACAACACTAACTCTGGGTAAGATGGGGACACAGCAGGGACAAAGAGGAGAGGCACAAAGCGGGTAGAGGAATAATATTTTCAAGTCTAACTCTGTTAGATGGTTAGACACCAGAGTTAGTGATTGCTGGAACAGTGTAAAGATCAATAAAGATGGTTTGGTCAGTTTTATTTTGTTTCTGTCAGGTTGAATGAAGTGTTATATACCGAACTAACCTCTTGTTAGCAATTTTATAAGAGAGAAACTTTAATTTAGAGGGTGTAAGGTTGTATTTTCTGTTTAATGCAGAAAATAGGTTTCTCCTTTCCTTTCTTGACATTTGGTTCGTTTATTTTCTTGTTTCTAGTTGTGAGAGCTTGTTACACGTAGTGAACTCGCCCCTCATCTCAGCTGAAACTACTGGGGTGGTGATTAGGGGGTGTCAGGGGGCATTCACACAGCACACAAATGTATCAGCAATCGATGAAGGTGGCACATTGGAAAATGTTAACATATCACCCAACCCTAGCATTCAGTGAGGTACACAGATGACCCAAACCATGAATTGTGCACCGTTTTCTGTAACTTATGAACATAAAAGAAAGCAAAACTTCAAACAAAACCTCTGTAAGTATAATTAAATGTTAATTTTTTTTTAGTTAATGTGATGTTAACTGCTCAGGTTCATGTTTAAACTGTCTTGAAGACTTATTATACTGCGGCAATATATCAAAATATTAACTAAAGTACACATAGTGAGAGACAGGGCCTGCTTCTTCAAAGGGGAAACAAAACATTTTGTAGCTGGCGCACACTTCTTAAAACTTACCACTTTCTCTTTGGAGCGCAGTACACCGAGTTTGCCGAAGCGTACGTGGAATGGTGAGCACTGGTAGCTGCCATCTCTCTGGCGGACGACAACAACATCGATGCAGCCCGATAGCGTGGCCTGATTAATTCCCTTGTACAGTTCTTTGACGGTTACCAGCACCTGACCTGCCAGCTGGCCCACGTAGTTCATAGTGTCCGCCT